TAAAACTGGAGTTTTTCTAAGTTAAGAATGGAAATGCCAAAATTTTTATATCACTAATTTCAGGAGTGAATGAATGAATGGCTGCATGGTTTTCCTTTTCCATGTTATTTGTTGCAGATGGAGTAGCTCCACGGGCCAAGATGAACCAACAGAGGTCCAGGAGATTCCGTGCAGCAAAGGACAACGAAGTTGCTGTGAGTATTTTTGCATTTAATTAAATTCCCTGGGATATGTTCTGTAGTATGTATTGTTATATGTGCATGCACTGCAGGAAGAAGAAGAAGAAAAGCTGAGGAATGAATTCAAGAGAGAAGGTAAACAAGTGCTTCCAAAAGTGGAATCTCAAGTCTCTGATTCAAATGTAATAACACCAGGAACGGACTTTATGGATAATTTGTCCAAGAAACTAAAAGCTTTCATTCATTCAAAGATGAACACTGATCCGGGCTGGAAAGATATTCAGGTTTGATCTTCCTGCCTCTGCCTCATGAATACTCATAAAGCTGAGAGTATCATTTTCTTGAGTTTTCCTTTTTCTGTATTTTTTTTTACTAACGTATCTTTACTTAATTCCAATTATTCTTATTAGGTTATCCTTTCTGATGCCAATGTACCCGGTGAAGGGGAACACAAGATAATGTCTTTTATAAGAACACAACGTAGTCTTCCAGGCTACAATTGCAACACGAGACATTGTCTCTATGGTCTGGTAAGCATGTTTTTGCAGTGGTTTAGCCAACTTTGCTTCATTTCTGCTCATCCCTTAATGTCCTACTAACTATAATTGGTTTTGTCCTGCAGGATGCAGACCTTATAATGCTTGCATTGGCACTACATGAAGTGCATTTTTCGATTCTGAGGGAGGTAAACATAAGAATACCTTAAATCCATTATTTCTATTTTATTTTTTTGGTAAATTTGTTCCATAGATTCTTACTCTTCATTTCTTGGTGCAATGAAATTAATTATAATATCAATTTCATGGTCATTAGGATGTTGTAACCCAAGAGCACCCACCGGCAAGCCAATCAGCTCCAGCTTTTTCTCAAACAGAATCTCTTGTTAAAAAGCCTTATATGGTATAGGAACTCTTTGGGTTTTGTATCATTTTGACAATTTCTAGAAATATCTATCTGGTATAGT